TCAGATTCAAATTATAGGATCCAAGTCGTTCCTGGGATTTCGCGGATACCGATGACGATGATAATGAATACGAGGAAGAGGTCGAGGAGGTCACTACTACAACCGCAACCAGCACGACTACCTCTACTAGCACATCAACACCGCCTCAAACTGCTGCACCACTACTTACTTTTCTTCCTCCTAATCAGGAGAAAAAATGTAGGTTTTTCTAACGGAAAAATAATCTAAGAATGTTAAATATTTTTAGCCAGGCCTTTAAAAAAGTACGCAAAATGTGCGAAAAAATGGCGGGAGGCCAGACCTTGCAAATCTAAAAACCTGAAATACCTGCAATATCTGATTAGTGGGAGGTTATTTTCATTAGTAAAGATTAATCCTAAAATTCATATACAGCAAATAAATTCCGTATTCAATTCTGCAGTCGTACTTACCCTAACTTTTAAAAATTCCTTGCGTTGCCTAATCACAGTGGAATTTTTGATTTTGATTTGCTTCAAATGCATCCCACAGCACATTCAGAGGGTCCATCACAGAATCATATAGATGGATAGCTTGCCTAAGCTCCAAGATTCAAATAATGGCAGCAGACCTTTCAGAACTGGCTTATAAATCCTCGAAATAAGCAAGTTCAAGAATTCAAACTGATTGTTATTTGACAAATTTTTTTTTATTAAAGTAATGCCACCTCGTCGACGCCTGACAATCGACCAGCGAGTCACTGCAGCTTCCGGTCATTTGGGCAAATTCCTAGTGCCAGCTCATAGCGTGAACGATGCAGAAAGTCCTATTCCTCCTGGCAAACTGATCACCGGTGAAGAAATTCCAGTTGTCGTGCCACAGCCGAGAGCCGTCGTCACCGATGGGTTTGTTTTAAACAACTTGCCAGTTTTTGAAGCCAAAAAATCCGCATAAGCAACAAAGCAGTTTAAGTAAAAACTCACATAAAACGCAATACGAAAGCTTTGCTCAAACTAAACCGGCGAGCGACATATTGAAATTCCCTTCAGAGAATCCAAATTTACGCAACGTAATTTTCATTTGAAAGAAAAAAGAACGCGGCTAAGTGCTAAATGTTCGAGGAAATAGCGAGTTCTTTGTGATCTGAAAGAGATCCTAAATGGATAATGGTAATTTATTTGGTGGATCTTCTCTTTTAATAGAAAGTGAAAGAAAAACTTTGGTAATCTTTCAGCACAAAAAAACATTGTAATCCTTCACTGCAAAAAATTTTCCAGAGGTCTAAATCTCCTGTAGGTTTAGACTTCTCGAAAATACGCCGGGTCTTTCCAACAAACAATTATCGAATCGCAACAAAAAAATAAACAGTTTCAATTCTTCTTTAATAAATAGCAAAAAAGAGGGTCATTCTTGAAACTCTCAACAGATGCATATTCGTTAATTCACATGCAATGCATCTTTTCTTTTGAAAATAGAATACTTTGTTAATGATAATTCTCAACAATACGATGCTCAAACTATGTAGTGGCATGATAATATTTCGCTTGTATCTTTTTATATTGTAGCGGCATTCTGAGAGCCCAAGATTTGGAAGTTGACCATGCCCTTGTTCTGAAGACGTAATTACGAGGAAAAAACGCGAGGAACTGAGTAGAGGAAAAGAAGGGAAAAGTAAAAACTAACAAAAATGTTCCGCAATTTGGCAAATGTTTTTTGTAAAATTTAGAAGTTAGCTTTAGAACTAGCTAAAAATTTTAAATTGAGTTAGGAAGCCGAAAGCTGGAATAGGAAATGTTAAAGCAAAACCAATTCGAGCAATAATTGTTGGGATTGCACAGCCTTGCTTACAGGATTTCAAAATTGCCGCATAAAATCACCATTTGTCGATCAGAAATTTATATGCCATGCTGAAATTGAGGCTCAATCAGAGTTACAAAGATTTTTAAATATAAAAATGAACGGGATTCTTGCGATTGGGAATTAGAAATCTTGAAAGAGCTGGGATTAATTTCAGTCAAACGCCAGATGGTCATCCACGTGTCATCAAGTTCCCAGTTGGTGGCATGGATGTGAAGATCAACACGCAAAATGTTGCAATCGTTAGCAATGACCATGCAAAACAACATTATCAAAAAGTAAAAACTCCGCAAATTTTTTTCAAAATTTGAGCAACGTAGTGAAGTTTTTTGATTTTTTAAAAAATTCTCAAAATTTTGTTGAGCGACGTAATGATATGACTTTTTTTAACATAAAAGAAAAGCTCCATGGTGATTCAATGCTTCAAATTTTTTTCCACAAGTCGAAAATTTATTGTAAAGGAACAAAAACGAAAGGATTTTTGAACTCTTAAATTAAAAATACACATTAATTTTGATGAGGTTTTGTATGATTTATTTTTTCAGGAACTTAAGGAGCGACAAAAGAAGGTGAAACCAACGACAAAAATTATTCCGCCGGCTCCGCTGCTGCTACCATCAACAGCACCAGCACCACCGCAACAACCGGCCCTTATCAACTACACAACCGTATTCGACGAAATTATTGAAGATATTGAACGAACTCCACGAGAACCAAAATCTAGTAGCAACGGAGCAGTGGCGGCGCAAAAAACAAGCTCAAGCGGAAATGATCCTTTCCAGGAACTGGAACGGCACATCAACAGGGTGCGCATAGAGTCGGAGGTAATAGGAAAAAAATTGTGCTCAAAAACTAGAAAAGTTAAAACCACCTCCTTATTCATTCCCTATAAGAGCGGAGACACTAGAAATTAGCCCGAGTGGTTGCACGTAACACACAATAGCAAAGTTGTCGATGGCTTCCTCTTCCGAAGTTTGCTTAGAAGCAAGCTGATGGCGGTACTGGCCCCACCATTTGCGAGAAAAAAACTGTTGCAATTTTTCGGAAAACTTTTGCAGTTTAATTTTTCTTCCTTGAATTTTCAATTTTTTGTGAATGCAGGAATCTCCCGAGGAATCATTGGAAGAAGTGGAACCGGTCGTGCAACTGGAGCAAAGGATAGCAAGTACAGTGCGATCGGACGTAGCAACTGTCGAATCTCAGGCATGCTTCCGTTTCTTTATTCCAGAACATTAAGAAGATTAAAAAATTGAATTTGAAATGCAATAAATCCACGAAATTATTACCTGCTGCTGCCCAATGCTCCGGTTCTGATTTCGAGGAAGCAACGGCTTTATAAGATTTCTTGATGAACAGCTCAGAGTTAAGTTTTCGGGGTTCAATTTTGTCGGGAATAACTGAGTGGGAAGGGGAAAAACTGTTAATCATGTACCAAAGCACGGTCAGTATGAGCCCAAGCATTGGGCTGCAGCGCAGGGATCATTCCTGCTATTAGCGATCTGCGAGTTTAGTTCAAAAACGCATAATCGCACTGGCAAGCTCGATGCGTTCCAGCCTGAGCTTTTATTACAGCGGTTGACCAGCCCATACGAACAAAAGTGGACAGACTTGCAGTGTAAATGTGCTAAATGCCATCGCTTCACCAAAACAGCCGTTAAAGCCAAAAAATGTCTTTCCCACTTTCACTCCCAGAAAATTTGGTGCTTTAGCATCCATATTTTTTCCCGTTTTTTTTAAGTTCACAGTTTTTTTTCTACATTAGACAGATTTTTCCCCTTGGCTAGATTCGACATCCCAGATAACATCTAGTACTCTTTCACTCAATTTTAACTCATCTTCTTCATTCCAGTCCCTTGATTTTTATTACGCTGCTATCATCTCCAGTTCTTTGATATGTAGACATTTTTCAGGTAATAAGTGTGCGTGATTTGGAAGTGATGAGCGATCCTTATTTGAAGGAAAAATGGTGCAAAAGATAGTGTGCTTCTGGTTTTCATGTATCTGTGTCTAACTTCACTTATATATGCT